CATTATAGAGTGTGCAAAATGTGCATACATTTTTTTATACTTCATGTAGCTCTAGTAAAAAAATTCTTAATAGAATATTATTATTAATTACAAGTGTCGTTTATTATTATGTATGTAAGTGAAGTTTTATTTATAAAGAGCTTTTTATAGAAACAAATTCACAAGGTGCTGTACAATCATCAACAGTATTATGAAGGCAATAAAGGTAAATATTATGTCTGTGTTTGTGTTTATATTTGCAGGTTTACCATGCTTTCTACAAGCCTCTAGAATTCACTGTTGCAGAGCGGGATGCCAGCCAGTGTTATGTAAAGGTAACTCAAGTTACTGTATTTAATTTGTAATTCAAATATTATGTAATCTTTACTAAAGTGAGATATTTTAATATTGTCTTTACTTTCATTTGTCTTAATGTCTTCTATTTTAAACACTGGAGTCAGCTAAGATATAGAGTTAGCGTTTCTTTAGAAAACCATATATTCAAATGTTCAAACAATAAGATTTTTTCGTTAACTTTGTCAGAATGTGCCATACAAATATAAAAAAGGAGCTCATAGAGCACTGTGCTATGTGTTAATGAATTTTGTGTCGATTTTTATTCCGTTAGGTGATATGTGAGCGAGGTGGTGATCAGAAGATCTTGGGTCTGCACTTCACTGGTCTAAACGCTGGAGAAGTCATGCAGGGCTTCTCTCTGGGCTTACAGTACGTTAAAGTAGACAAAGTCATAAATGTTAGGTTTTTATTATCGCCTGCTGTTGAAGGCGATTGTTTTTGTGTATATCAACACAGCTCCTGAACCACTAGACAGATGTTTTGTGAAATGTACAGGAAGTTATCATTCGATGCACAAAAACTGGTCAGTCTAATTCAAGATGGCTGCCATGGCTGAGTGCTCCCAGCAAACACAAGAAGGGTTCTCACTAAAAACAAATCATCCCCAACTCTTCCTCTGAGCTCTACGTTTGACCAAAACAGTTATAAATTCTCATAATAAGATATTAGTTAATTTGCCTTTTTAAGCTGATGTCATGATAAGCTAATTTGTTTAGACTTTTTAAAAAGCCTAAAAGGCATTCATCAAATTTTTTATTTTGGATTTGATCATTTTTGCACTAGTTGCATTTTTGCAGCAAGGGAGTTTTCTTAATAAGTTAGTTCTGAGTCACATATCTCAAAACCAACAAAATGCTTTTATTAAAACTTTTTACTTTTATTAATTATTTTATTTATGATTTTATTGGCGTATATGCATCATGAAGAGCTTTGGATAAGCCACAGTTGTGATGAGAAGTCTGTATGACTGACAGCAGTGTGTTGTTTGGTGTCTCTTAGGTGTGGAGCAACATATTCTCAGCTGCTGCAGACTGTAGGAATCCACCCAACCTGTGCTGAGGAGGTGGTTAAGATCCACATCACAAAGCGCTCCGGTTTAGACCCCACAGTCACGGGCTGCTGAGGTTAAACACCTCGGCCTCTGAACACGGTGAGCACACAGGGTCTCTATGTCAGAAAGATGCTAGTGGGTTTATCTCGCTCCTCTCCTTGTACCTCTCCATTTCACTCCCGGTTTCATCGATTTTATCAAGATTATTCACTCATCTTATTCCAGTGATCCTGCTCATCGCTGACTGGTGTCCCTGACCAGCACTGTTTCTGTCCCATGTCCATGTCTCAGAAGGCACACAGCAGATTAATGAGAGCCCCAGCTCAGAGTGAGCATCTCTTATCCAAACTTTCCCATCCATCAGAATTCAGTCACATTTAGGATTTTGAGAAAATCGCACGAGAAACGCAGAGCGAGCGTTCAGAATATACATTCTGCAAATATTGTTGTTTCTCGGGCTGTACTTCCTGTCCATTAGTCTTAGAGGTGACACATACCATACACCCCTCCCCGCCGTGACACTGATGAATGGCCCCAGGGCCGTCGCCGCAGCGACACCGCCCCATTTCCCATGGACACACAAATATTCAGCAGGGCGCACGTCAGTCAGCCGGAACAGGCCTCATCCACGCAGCCCCCGMGATTTGTTCAGGACCAGGCAGAGTCCAGCAGAGCCCCTGCCTCATACCCACATCCATTCACATGCATGAAAAAAAGAACTACATTACAACTACAAATAAGAGCTGTCAAAAGCTGTATGACTGCCACATCCCAGAATCACACAGTTCCTTTCTTAACCCAGCTGCAGTACCCAGACTCACCTAAAGGCGGCGCTGTTGCCCTCCATTTCTCACATTTTACACTGAGCCCAGATTGAAAGACAGGATGAGGTAGTCACTGTATAAAACATAAGGCTGAATGCATTCAGGTTGCACATTTAATCCCTTTAATCCCCATAAAAGATCCGTGCTTCAAGATGAAGTCTGGCTTTATTAGTGCCAAGCTGATAAGGTTATCAGCTGTGTGTTTACATGGATGGCAGGTTAGGCCTCAGGAGTCATCGCCTTTAAAGATAAGGTGAGTTGTTTATATCAATAAAGCATTAATGGACCCCACAGTTTGCCAAAAGTGCTCAACTCTTCAACCTGCTGCCTGCGCGGGACATCTTGGCTTTATTAAGCCGACGAAGAGGAGGAGGCGGAGGACTGTCGGGTGAAGAGCCGAAATTGAAGAACCCGCGAGCGGGCTGCCTGCCGTGGTTTATTTTTATTCAAAGTCTAATCTGCCCGCCCTGATTAATGATTCTGATGAGGGGAGTGACAGAGATGGAGAGATGAAAAAGAGCGAGAGCTACCAGGTTTATTTGGGCCTGAGGAGAGAGGAGCCGAGTACCAGTCCCGGGTTGGGGAGGGAAGGGTTGTGGGGGGTAGGGGGGTGGGGGGGATTCCTGTGTGCTCCGTTCAGGGCTGAGGTGCTGACTGAAGGACCTGACCTCCGCTCAGCAGGAACAGCTTGACTCTATCACTTGGAGCACTGAGGGCTCAGGAGCTGCAGCGCAGCACAGCGGGGGCCTCAGAGGGCTGGAGCTGAACCGTCTGTTTGCTTTTTAGACCCTTTTTCTTCTGTTTTGTCTCAGTCTCTCTGCTATTTAGCACCGAGCACGGCCTCACACACACACACACACACACACACACACACACACACACACACACACACACNCACACACACACACACACACACACACACACACACACACACACACACACACACACACACACACACACACACACACAGAGTAGTTTTATGTGTTTTATTAAATATGTGCTGAATTCGTAGGATTCCTGTTCGTTGTTGACGGTTTACTCCAGGCCAAAGATTTGACCTGCCAGCCTCAGCTGTGCTCCACGGTGGAGGGGAGGCGAGGTGGGGGTCAGGGCTCAGCTTTCACGTTGGCCAGCTAATGATGACCTGCGCTAAAACCCAAAGCTGGGGAGTGCAGGTCTGATGTCACCTGGCCACAAACTTTAGGAACAAAGGAGTTATTTTTCAATGAAGCTTTGTCAAATTTTATTTATATTCAAACTCAAAACACTCAGATTCACCGTCTCCATTAAAGAAATTATAACTTTGACCGAGTCCTCTGTGTTTTTATTAAACTACTGAATAGTTGTTGGAAAGTCGGACAAAACTGTTCAGTATTATAATTATTATATAATATTGTACAGGATAAAAACAAAATTAGAATTTTAAAATAAATCAATCAAAGAATATTTTTAAAAATATTTTAGCACTGAACTTTAAATGCTAGTTAGTTGAACTCAGCTGCTAACCTAACCTGCCTAAATCTGTTTTTGTTTAACTTGTTTTTTTTCTCTGTAAAAGTCATTTGATGCGATTTCCAACCACATAGAGTACTACAAACTTTGGAGAATTATAGAATATTGTTTTAGTATTTTCCAGGTCTGGATAAGTATAGGGTGCAAGGTGAAACGGCAGCAAGAGGGTCCCGGGTTTGAGTCCCTGTCTGGGTGTTTCTGCGTGGAGTTTGCATGTTCTTACCCTGTATCAATCCAGGTACAGCGGTTTCCTCCCACAGAACAACAACATGCAGGATATTTGGATTATTTAGAAATTCAAACTGGCCTTATAGTGTATGTGTGGTTATTTTCCTCTGTGTGACTTTGGTGGGCAGGTATTCTCTGCTATGTGGGGTCAATTTTTGGCATACACACCTGCTTATGGGGACCTAATCCTAGTCTGTGTGGACATGTCCAGAGTGTACACCTCTCCATGACTCACAATAACCACTGGAGATAGGAACCAGCTCCATGTGGTCCTGAACAGAAGCAAACAGAAATAGAAAATGATTGGATAGTTATGAATAAAATAAAAAATGTTTAGACTTATTTTCTCCCTGACTCTATTAAACATAAACATGGCCCTATTGCTGTCTCTACCACAAGTTGAGTTTGGGTTTTACAGAACCTGTCGTGTGTTTTTGGAACCAGAGTCTGCTCACTAAGTGAAGCTTTGTCCTGCCTGCTCCCTTGCAAACAGTCATGGTGTTACGTTAGTTTTTTTAAAGGGTGAAATAATTAATTGCAACTAAACGTATTAGAAAAAAAATGAAGGTTTGAACATAGCAGTAAGGGAAGGACTGTGTGATTCAAGAAGAGTCTACACATGGAAAAGTACAAGGTGTATTTTTTAACAAGGATGACATTTATTTATTTAGAGAGTTTGCTTGAAATATTACCCAGGATGTAAAACAGGTGAAACATTTTCTTTTTTGTGTGTGTATATTTTACAAATTTAGTATCTTTTTTTGTCAGTTTTTTTTCCTCACTGCATTTGCAGATACAGTATATTTGGCCAGCTTGGTTCTAGCAGTAAAAAATGAGCAGAGATATCTGGATTTCTGAATCTGGAAAATAAAAAATGCCTATAAACAAGGAGTGTCTGATCAGTTCAGTCACTGTGAAGCAACAGCTTACATCTTGCACAACTTAATGAGCTTTTTTATCTGAACAAATCCAGGCATACTGATTCTCTTCTTTACAGTTTTTATGCAAAGTTGACCAACTAAAGAAAAGCAGTTACCTAAATACTTAAAACTGCCTCAAACTGCATCAGCTCATGTATGTTAGATGGTTTCTGTTGACTGTGTAATCCTACAGTGGATTAAAAATACAAAGAAAAATGTTTAATGAATGGAAAATGTTTTTTTCCCCATAAAATTAAACAATACCAATATGGTTTCAATATCTCATTGTTGCATCATTTTGTGAAGGACAGATATGCACACAAATCATTTCATTGGAGCTTGACCTTAATTTATCTGGGTGAAATAAAAACATGCATTTGTCTCAAAATATGCTAAAGTACATTTTTATTCATGCACAAAAAAAGGTGGAATTTCCTGGCTTTTGTAAAAGCTTCGTGAGAACACCTCCTGACAAATCCAGGCTGGCGAACCGTGTGAGTGCAGAGCTTCGCTTCAGCTGATCTGCAGCAGTTTGTCTGAATATATTCAGTTTTAATATGAAGTGAATGGATGGTCCCACTTTGACCCTGAGGTGTCTCCTCTGACAGCCAGCCCTGCTCTGCAGCCCTGTCACTCAGCCCTCTGCTCCAACAATAGCACAAATTCCACCGTGTTTGTTTGGTTAAGGAGAGAGCTCTCTGAAACCCCTGAACCTCCTCGAGATCCACAGCAGCCCCACTCACCCAGAGAATGAAGCCGTGCTGTCGGTCCCCCCCTTTTCCCAGACAGTGGGAGTAAAGTTCACCCGCTGTCTCTAGAATGGTCGGCCGCCATTTGGCAATTGTGTCTGTTGTGTCGCTCCACAATGGAGCAAACAGGTTAAATCCACCTTGAAATGCACTTAGTAGAACATGTCAACATGTCAGGGTGCGCTCCGCTCTCTGCTCCATCTTAATCCAGCCCATTGAACTCTGACAGTTGTCTGTGAGTCACACATTCACGGGGCCTTTGTCACTTCAGCTCTTGAGCCCCAGCAGCCCGGCTGGGAAAGCAGAACCCTCGGAACATGTTAAAACACACTTGCTGAGTATACAGCATCACATTTTGGGGTTAAAGCAGCGGGAGAGGGAGAAACTGATACATACCTTTTGTAAACACTGAGGAAAAAAAATGAGTAATGGAAAGTGCTCAGGCGAGGTAAGGATTATGACTGAGAGATGAATAGGGGACAAATATGACGGCAGTGTTGTACTGCCAGAGTATGGCTCTGGAGCTGTCAGTCTGAACTCCCCGCAGGGCCCGGATGGAGTGAAGAGGAGCCTCAGAAAACTGAATATCTGAGTTAAAGCTCTGGCATTCCTTAGGTGAATGCTTATTGCCCGCCACCTTTCATCTCAGAGTTAGGAAGCTGTCTTGGGTAAACCTAGAATATAACATGCAGTCATATTGCACCATGTCACATGATCCAGTGAAGCATGCTGTTAATGACTCAGCTACTACCATGCCAAATTTTAGCTCAATATTTGTCTACTTTATCAAGATAAAGTCATTTTTGTTTAGGCGAAGTTCAGAAACCTTTGATCACCATCATATCTGTTGACTTCAAATGTTAATCAGTTGTAGTTTCACAGCCAATACTTTCTGTGAGTGTCATTGAAGTGGTTCATAATTATTTTGCTAACAGACAACAGGGTTAACTACAAAATGAATGTTAAAGTTTTTAACCAAAGATGCCACAGTGTGTTGCGCTTAAAGTAAGTGTTGGCAACGAGACGCAACTACCACACCAAATTCAAGATTAATGTCTCTAAAGCTGAGGTGTTTGTGTTTTCTAAAGTCGGTTAGTTGTGGTGGCCATCTTGAAATTGCTTAATTCCAAACATTAATCCCTTTTAGTTGCACAGCTTGTTGCTTTAAGAAAGTTTCATTCAAATTTGTCCAGCAGTATATGAGATATTTTGCTTATACAGTAGACAATCAACACAGACGTGATGAGGTGGATTTCCTCAAATATTTCACCCATTGATTTTCCAATGTGGTTTCTTTGTTTATTTCTTTCTTTTCTGATTTCGTTACGTCCATGCAATCAAAGTGTGAAACAAAGTATTTTGTTTCACACGCTCACCAATCACTGAGAAGAAGAAAAAAAGTCTAATTTTACAAAGTACTTTGAAAACTTTCCTCTGCAGACACATTTTTTTTAATCCTATGCTTCCGTCAACTCCCCTTCCAGACCGTCAAGGCCGGCCCGTTTGTTTCATAGATACTAAGACTGCATTTTTGATTTTGCAACAAATGTGGCTTTTTGGAAACCTCTCATCCAGAGTGTGCCTCCCCTTCTTGACTTCTAATTCAGCTGCAAATGAAAACAAAAAGGCAAGTGAGGTCAGCTCCTATCAGGGTGGTAGCTCAGGAGAGGTTAGGGCCTGTGAAATGAGCTTATCTGACCCCTGATAAGAACAGGATACCCTCAGGAATGGTCTAAATTCAATACACATGGCTACTGCAGCAGGATTTTTACTGATTGTTTCAAAAGGAGCCATACTGTAGTGTTATGGCTCAGTTTGGCCTCTATGGACCGGTCCAAGTCACACAGTCCTAGAACAACAACTCTTACCAAATAGTTGGGATGTTGAGTAAAATTTTATTTAAAACAAGAATCATTTGCAAATCTCATAAAATAGATATTTCTTATTCACAACTGAACACGGTAAACTTATCAAATGTTTAAACAAATAAGTTTTGCTATTTTTAGGGACAAAAACGTCATTTTGAATTGTAAGGAAGCAACTAATTTAAAAAAATGGCAATGAAAGGCTGTAACAGTGAGTGGGATGGCAACATTTTACAACTGTGTTAACCTACAAAAGTTCAGTGAGAGGACCAGGTATATATATATATATATG